AGCCCCGCCTCACCCCCCTGCCCCGCCAGCCCCCTCAGCTCCCGCAGCAGCTCCACCCTGCGCGCCAGCAGCTCGTCACCCGGACGCAGCGAGGTGACGACACCCCTGCACAAACACGCGCACAGGTCATCGGTTTTGAGCGGAGAGGTCACAATACAAATGAGACAACGGGCAGATTGCTGCTGAGGCTTGCACCAGTGCTGACCGGATCAAACACGCTGTATGGCGGCAGCAATGCGTTGGATTCTATGTGCTGCATGTGCCGCGCTGAGGGCCAGCATGCAAGCAAGGCAAGCACCCGGCCGCTCGAGGGCCGCCCCCAACCTTCCGCACACCTGCTGCCGTTGACGTGTGTGTTGCTGATGTTGCGCAGCAGCATCACCTGGGCCCCCAGCTGCCAATAGGGGTTGCCGGGAACACCAGGGGACTCAGCAGCAGCAGTAGGGTTTGGCGTCTCAACACGAGCAACTTCTCACATTCGCCAGGCAACCCGCATCCCAGCACCCCCCACTCGTCCTGGCTTTCAACCTTGGCTGTTGCCCGCCAGCCTGCCACACCCTTCCATCCCCGCTCAGCCCACCCGACCCCCACGAGCAAAGCCTTGCCCCCCAACCTTGAGGTCAATCGTCTTGGCCGCCTGGCAGTCTTTCCAAAATTCTGATTGTCCGGCGGACGGAGGGCAGGGAAGAAGGATTGATGGTGGTTTTGTGGTGTGGGCGACCTTACAAACAAGGCCTGAGCATTTGCAGGTGACCCTTTTCCCGGCACGGATCGGCCAGCCACGCAGCCCCTTCCTGATGCAGCCAAAGGCCCCCTCCCCGCCCGACCGCCTCACCCGCCCTCCACAGCCGCTGCTCTGCCTCCTGGCGCAGGTCTTTAGGCAGCTCGGGGTTGACCTGGATATCGTCAGTGCCAGTGAAGGTGGCCTGGGGATGGGGGGGCAGGGGGTGGCCCGTTGGTCGAGGAGGAGATGGGGTTTTGGCGACGGCAGGGGTTGGGTCGGGCGCGGCAGAGCAGGGGAGGCCGGTGGTGCCACAGTGGTCCCTTGCCGGAGGGAGTTGCTGCACCCCAGTCAGTTGCCCAGTGATCAGCAGTGCCGCGTCGTTCAGCGGAGACAGCAGGGGTGGTGGGCTGTTTTTTTCCGCCGCGCCCTCGCTTTTGGCGGCTCAGTCGCCCAGGTGCGGTGTGGGTTCACTGCGTTGAAACCCACCACTGCCCCGGGCAGTTTGGCGAGCTCCTTGGCGTTGACGGCGTCCACGTCAGCGTTGCGGGAATAGCTGGAAGGAGGTGGCGGGATGCGGTGTGAGGAGGTCTGTGGCTCGGGTGCATCAAACCAGAGGGGGAGGGGGTAGCCAGGGACGTGCAGATGGACCTGCTGATCCTGTTGACACTGCTGGCTTCTGCTTACTATCACCATTGCAGCAGAACCCACCACAAATCATTACGCGAGCCTACCCCCCCCCACACACGCATAAACACCAGGCATGCCCACAGCACAGTGGGGCTGCGGGCCCACAGCACACGCTGCGCCCCACATGCATTCGCCAGTGGCTCACAGCTTGGTGGGCACGACGCCGTTCTTGGCCACCAGCGGCCGCGCGCACTTGTCCACCAGCGTCTGCACCGCGCGCTGCGTGTTGCGTGCCCAGCGGATGTCCTCCAACACAGCCACAAACTCGGGGTCGGCCTGGCGGAACACCTTTGAGTGGGGCGGGGGG